ATGGATGAATGCATGCATGGATGGATGCATGGATGGATGAATGCATGCATGGATGGATAGAAGTAGGCCAAGGCCCAGAGAGTTGTAGAGAAGCTTTATCAATGCCATGCTGCTACTTAGTTCTGGTAGGCTAGAATCCAGGTCTGTCAGCTCTCAACCCAGAGGAGCATAAATTTAAAGCATTCAAGCCCCTCAAGTCCAATCTTCTCATTTTAAATATAAGGAAACTGAGGCCCAGAGAGGCTAAGTGAATTGACCAGAATCACACAGTATCCGAAGTTGGATGATTTGAACACAAGTTGTCCTGACTGCCAGTCTACTGCTCGACCTATAACACCACATCACTTTGTCCAATTCAACAAACATGTAACAAGCTTGGTCTTGGGCATGTGGTCTACTCCCGTCTCAATGCTCTTTCTACCACGCTCAGCTCAATTTCCTTTTGTACTTGTTCCTGTGGTTCCATGCCATGGACCCTCTGGTTGATGTTTTCCTGGCACTTAGAAAATACCAAAGTCATCAAAAAACTCAATGACCCCCAAGGGTAGGGACATCCCCTTTTGTTTTTCCTATTTTCTCTGTAACCTACTCTAGCATAAGCCTAGGCACCCTGAAGACAACAGTAAACAGAGCGGGAAGAGCAGTGGTTTGGGAGTCATAGGACTTCTCATTGACCTAAGATAAGGCATAACCTTTCTGGGCCTCAGTTTCCTCAGCTGTAAAATGAAGGAGGTGCTCTAGAACAGTGGTGTCAAAGGCAGGCGAACATTATCTATGTGTGACTGTATTTTTATTTATTTCATTAATTGTCCTCCAATTTCATTTTGATCTAATTTGGGTCTCACTCGGGAGTGTTGTGGGTGGGGAGTTTAAGACCTGGGCTCTAAGCGACTTCTCAAGTCCCTTTCAGCTCCAGAGCTAGGATTCTATGACGGCTTGGTCTGAAGAATTCAGCTGAATTTCTTTCAGTATTGCTCCATGGTGACAATGTCGCTAGGACTGGGCAGGCTGTCTCCACTGAGCCCCCTTCCACCTGCCCCCAACAACAGCTCCCCAAGGCCAAGTAGTATAGGGTCGGTGGGCTTCAACAACGGGATGATGTCGCCACCTGCTGGCCCGATCCGGCATCACCCTAGCTGGTCCATTCATCTTAGACTTTGGATCTTAAAATCATTGCATCATTCAGGACCCTTAATACTTCTGGACCCTCGGGGAGCCACACTGAGAGAAGGCGATTTTTTTTCTCCCCCATTTAATAGTATTTTATTTTTTCCAATTACACGTAAAGAGAGTTTTCAATATTTGCTTTTATAAGATTTTGAGTTCCAATTATTTTTCTCCCTCCCTCTTCGCTCCACAAGATAGCATCTGATATAAGTTATACATGTCTAATCATATTAAGCATATTTCCACTCTAGTTAGGTTGGGAAAGAAGAATCAGAACAAAAGGGAAAAACCATGAGAAAGAAAAAGAGAAAACACTCTGCTTCGATGTGCATTCAGACTCCATAGTTCCTTCTCTGGAAGTGGGTAGCATTTTCCACCTTGAGTCTTTTGGAGCTGTCTTAGATCATTGTACTCGAGAAGAGCCATGCCTATCAAAGGTGGTCATTGCACAGTGTGGCTGTTACCGTGTACAGCGTTCGAGGAGGCAATTCTTGATGCTTTGTAAGTAGGGGAAAGATGGATGGATGGATAGGGGATAGAGCATGTCTTCATGGCTGTAGCTTAGGAAGAACCTGACTCCTAATGGAGGGGGAGGTTATCATTCTGTCATATCCTAAACTGAGGGAGCTCCCAGATAAGAAGATAACAGAACCAGAGCTCAGAGGGACTTTGTATGTCACTGACTCCATTTGATGGATAAGGAGACTGAAAAGGAAATGACTTAAGCAACGTCACACAGGTGAGATCAAAGTCAGGATCTGAACCCGGGTCTCCTGACACCCAACCCAATACACTGACAAAGTAAGTCCAGGGGCAGCTAGGTGGCGCAGTGGATAGAGCACCCGCCCTGAAGTCAGGAGGACCCGAGTTCAAATCCGGCCTCAGACCAAACACCTGACATGTACTGTGTGACCTTGAGCAAGTCACTTAACCCTGCTTGCCTCACTAACAAAAAAAAAAAAAAAAAAAGTTAAGTCCAGTGTAGCCAAGGTCAGAGGGCCAAGGTCAGTGCCCATTCCCCTGCTCCGTTCACCATCATGACCTGGTGTTTAGTAAATCACTTTTTTTTCTGGCTTCCACCTCCTCTTCTTCCATGGACTCCCACCCACCCTGTAGTCACAATAGCCTGTTTTAAAATAAAAATCAAACCCGTTGTTTTCTTCCTCATCAAAGTAATTTTCATTATGTTTGCATCTTCAAAATTTCATAGTTGAGTTTCCTAATCCTCTTGGCTAACTTCCCTGTAAAATGTTAGGCTAGGGCAGCCTGTTTATCATTTCTCTGAATTATTTGAAATACGATCTCCCCAAATCAAGAGTGTACGTCAGTCTATGCTTGGTTTTCCTTTAGAAAGGTAAGAATTGTGGCATGGTAAATGCTTGTTGACTGACATTTCTTAATTGCTAAATTCCAATGCCTTGGTTCATTCCTCATTCTTCCTTTCTTTTACAGCTTTTAACACCATTTATCACCTTTCTTTTGGTGTTTTAGGAAAATCTCTCCTCCCCTGCTTTCCATGGCACTGCTCTTTCCTGGTTCTCTTCCCAACTGTCCAGACTCTCCTCAGTCCCCTTCACTGGTTCATCATCATCCTCACCACCTAGAGGGTGGTGGAAAGGCTAAGGAGGCGATCAGTCTACCCAGCCTGTTTCCCTACCATTAAGTAACCAAGGCTTTCTAAGTAGAGGGATATGTAGAAAGACAGTGCCCTCACTGGAGACATGCCCCACGTGTGGAAGGCTAACAAAATGGAGCGCTTATCCCCGGCTTCCAAAGTACAGCAGAACGTGCTTATTGGGATTGAGGGGGGAGTGGAGAGGAGAGGAGGGTTTGGCTAGAGCATTGGGCCGAAGCTAAGATTAAATTCAGTAGGGATAAATGTGAAGTCTTACTCTTGGGCAGCAGGACAAGCATGCCTTAGAGCCTAACAGCTAATCTGTGGAGGTGATGGACTCAAGGGGCCAAATGGGTCACAGAGTTTCAGAAATGGCCAACATTGGGATTTGTTTTTCTTAACGACGCATATATGTTCAACTGAGTCTTGTTCTGCTTTTTTGTTTCTTTTTAAGTTGGAGAGGGACCAAGGGGAGCAGAATAGGAAGAAAGGAAAGAGAGATAAGGTTGTCAAAGAAAAAGTCTTTGAAGCAATTTTTTTAGTGCACAGACGTGAGCAGAAGGAAGGCCAGAAGGAAATACAAAGAAGACAGCTTGAAAGTCCTGTACTGAATTTATTATAAACTTACAAGGGAAAGTGAGAGATTTACAGTTTCGCGTATGAGCCTCTTTTTTCAGTTCTACTTCAAATATGTAAATATTCATTTTTATTTGGTATTTGTTCAGATTTTTTAAAAATAGTAGCTCACCTGGTTTAAATTTGGAAAGATGTTTATTACAACCCTTGAGATCCACAGCCCAAATGTGCTATTGAATCTAGGAGATCCTGGACACCGATCAGCCGCTTTGGCTGGCTGTCAAAATTATTAGCTCCATTTTAGAGATGGGAAGAGTAATTGATAACATTTTCAGAAGGATTTAAAGAACTGACAGTATTTTTAGCAATTTAGGGATATTTAATGTGTGCCTGAGAAGGAAAATAAGTTATGAAGAAGTCAGACTCCATGCACCCATGTGACTCTGGGAAAGAAACTGATCATAAATGTGGTAAAACCCGTCAAAGGCGCCCTCCTGGTCCACAGATCTTGGGCATATGTTGGGGGCCTCTAAATTCTCTTGCTTACTGCCTCCTGATGATTTGGGAACTTCAGTATGACATCATCTCCAGGGTAATCACCAGATCCCCTTACAAGCACACAGGCTCACAAGTCTCATAACGTGAACAATTTTATTTGCAAGCTACTGGAAACCTATAGAACTAATAGCCAGGCCCATAGGAAAGAATACCAATGAGCAGCCATTACTCCATAGGTCCATAAGTCTCAATGACTTACAGAACTTCCATCTATCGGCTAAAAGCAAGGGTTGTAGGAGTGTGATCCTCAAGCAATTCCTATAATAACAGTATTGTAAAACCAAACAATTCTGGAAGACTCAAGATCTCTGCTTCATGCGATGACCAGCCATGATTCCAGAGGAATTAGGATGATCCACGCTACTCACCTCCCGACAGAGAGGTGATGGATTAAATATGCAGAATGAGACGTTTCTGAACACGGACATCAGGAATCTGTTTTGTCTGACCTGTATGTTTGTTACAAGGGTTTTGTTTTCCTTTTTAATGGTGGCGGGGCAGGGAGGGAAAGAAAAAAAATACCTGTTAACTGAAAAATAAAATGGAAAAAAAGGAGTTTGTCCCTCCACACACACACACAGCCTCTTCCCTCTTGATGTGCAGCAGGTGAGTAGTCACTGAGCCTGCGCCTGTCCTCCATCCCTCCTTTCCTGGCTCGAAGCAAACTTCATTCAGCTGCTTCATCACTTTCCGCAGCTCTCCTGAGCTCCCAGAAGGCGGTCATCTCATCCCTTGCCCTCTTTCTGGCCTCTGCAAACCACTTATCCAAGCTCCTCTCACCCTCCAGCCAGGGGTCCCTTCTCTGCCAACCCCACGCATGTACTGTCCTCTATAGTTTCGACGTTCTCCTCGGGCTCCAGAAGATGGTGCTCACGCCCCTCCTAGGGGACCAGCTCTCTAGCAACTGGCCTGTAACGGGAAGAAGATGCTGAGTGCACCGAGAACTCAAAGACTCACCTTGCAGCCAGAGCGGCCCTCTTCATCGTAGGCCAGGCCCCCAGCCTTGCGCCTCCCAGCCGAGAGGCTTCCCCGGACCGAACACGCCCTCCTCTCTGCTCAGACACATGGTGCCGTACTAACGTCTGCCTCTTCTCTCTCCAGATCAGAAGGGGCTCGTCCTACTCTCCCTTCCTGGTGCCTTCCCCTGGAGAATGGAGGCATGGAGGCCAGGGCCTTCTAATGACCCAGGACTACTACCCAAAAGAACAGCAAAGGCAGAGGAGAAAAGAGGCTTCTCCCCCACCCCGCCAGCATGTGTGAAGCAGGCTTCACGCACAGATCCTTTAGGCGGGGTGTAGGTACGTTTCACAAGCAGAAGGTCCTAAGGCTGAGTTTCATGCCATCGTCAGTCCCCCGGGAAAGGCAAAGGGTTTGGTTCAACCACTCTCGGTCCCAAGGAAGGCAGAGTTGCTGCTGCTGACCTGACAAGACTCTGAAAAGAGCCTGTGGAAGGACAGATACAGAGGAAGGGGGGAAAGGGTACTTCTGGACTCAAACAAGAAGAGAAGTGGTTTGAGCATTGGCATCTGTTGGCTTTGGTGGCCGGGAATATTTGATTCCCATACTGAGTACTCACAAACCGATGTCATCGGCTGATCGCTGTGCCTTTATTAAAGACCTTCTAGGAAGGGTCCATTATTATCCCCATTTTACAGATGAAGAAACTGAGGCAAGCAGAGGTTGAGCGACTTGCCCAGGGTCACAAAGCTAGTAAGTGTCTGGGGCGGGATTTGAACACAGATCTTCCTGACTTCAGGCCCAGTGCTCTAACCACTGCTCAACCTTGCAGAAAGTACCTAGTAACACAGCCAGTCATGCTAGGGAGACTGTCCTCCCTGAGGGATCCACAGACTCATCATTAGCTAACTTTTCCCTCCTAAGCCTTGGGAACTCAGCTAGGGCGTTCCATTTTCAGAGAGACAGGGTAGTTACTCTGCTCCCAAGTTTTCCTTGGGCTCCTATCACCCACATCAAGTTCCAACTCATCTGCTTTATAGGTAACCAGGGTCCCCTGCCCATATATCCTCCCGCTGCCCCCAGTCCTCTCTAGCCTTACCTCATACGACTCACTATCATGCACTCTGTGCTCCAGCCTTGCCTCCTCAACACGCACTGCCCTCTCAGACCCAGGTGCTTTTGCTCCCACTGTTTCTGCCTCACCAGCCAATTTTATCCCCATCCTTTCAGGTCCAATTCCAACTTCTCCTCCTCCTCCAGGAAGCTCTCCTGATAACTCATTGGTTTTGTTTTGTTTTTTGCTTTTTGCTAGGCAATTGGGGTTGACTTGCCCAGGGTCACACAGCTAGTAAGTGTTATGGGTTGTATGCCTGAGACCGGATTTGAACTTGGGTCCTCCTGACTCCAAGGCCAGAGCTCTATCCACTGCGCCATCTAGCTGCCCCGCTGATAACTCATTGGGACTCTCCCCACTCAGAACTCACATGGCACTTCAGTTTGAACCTAATGCCTCTACCAAAGGACGTGTTTTCTACCTGCCTGATCCCCTAATTAATACTAATTAGCAATCTCCTTAAGAGCAGGGATTGTGCCCTAACTAAGCCTCTACCTAGTGAGCGTTTGGTTAATGCCACTATCCAGTGGAACACAGAACACTGAAGAAACAAGGCTGCAGAAACACTTCCTTTTCAAGTGGAGGAACCAGGCCAACAAGGGGGGGGGGAGAGTCTGCAACTGTGTGACCTTGCAAATTTCTGATCAGTTTATCAACAGAAAACAGGGAGAGAAGATCTCTGCCCCGATCTGAAAGTTAATGTCCACGGATTAGTCTAACGGTGGAAGTGAGAGCTGAGCGGAGCTCAACAGCATTCCCACGGCCGATCGGTGCCTGGCTTTTCCTTGGCAGCAGACGACCCTGGCCAGACACTAGAGATGCCAGTGCCGGTCCGACGCTCCTACTCCTCCTTACTCCCCAGAACGTGTTTCTACACTGCGGCATGAGGTCAGGCAGCTAAGAGGACGCTGGTGCAGGACAAAGCTCCCAGCTTTCAGTTGCTTCCACCCGTCTCCATCCCCACCGAGCCGAGCCACGGCACTGTCTCCTAATTGGTTTCCTTGTCTCTCTCCAGCCATCCTTCACTGACTGCCCGAGGCACACTTCTGGTCAAGCTGATTCCCATTGGGTGGTTCCCCACTGCCTAGGGATCACTGCATTTATTGGACTTATATCCTCCGTGCCTAGCACAGTCCCTGGCACACAGTAGGTGCTTGGTAAATACCTGTTCATTGAAACAATCCTCAATATGTCAAGGATCTGTGATTTTGTCAAGTTTGGGAATGTCTTCCTTCAAGGTAGATGATGACTTCTCTCTGCCATAGTAGATAAGTCAGAGATCTGCCTGAGGATCAGAAAGGTTAAGAGATTTTCCTATGGTTCCACAGCTGGTCAGCGCCCATCATACCACACTGCATCTACTTTTCTATGACAAATTCTAAGAGGAAGCAGTATCGCATCCCCACTGCTCTCTCCACATCTACAAAGTCACTCACATTTCTATATCACTTTAAGGTACAGAGAGCATTTTGTCATAACTTCGAAAGAGAGGTAGTTATAATTATCTCCATTCCATGAATGGGCAAACTAAGGCCCATCTGGGTGGTGCAATGGAAAAAGTCCCGGACTTGGAATCAGGAAGACCCGAATGTGAATCCTGCCTCAGACACTTATCAGCTGTGGCCATTGGCAGGTCACTTCACCTATCTGCCTCAGTTTCTTCATGGGTAAAATGGGGATGATGATAACACCTCCCAGAGCCGTTGTAAGGGTCAGATGAGATATCTGTTAAGCGCTTAGCCCAGTGCCTGGCACATGGTAGGTACTCTATAAATGCTAGCTAGTCGTTCTGAAGCTGCAATCTAAACAGGTCTCCTGCAGGTCACTGTCCCTACGGAAGTGCCTCCACTTAAGCCTGGCATTCAGGACCGTCCACCCTTCTCCTTCTCTGGGCTCAGATCTCACTGCTCCCCAACATGTCCCTGGCCCTCTCAGAACCTGCTGAGTCCTTCCCACCCACTGTGCTTTTGGTCACCATCCCTTCAGCTAGAATGCCTTCCCTTCTACTCTCTTGGCAAAGTTCAACCGAGTGTCTTCAAGACCTAAGAAATCCTCCCTCCTCCCCCTATAGATTTCCCAAGTTCTCCACCTGAAAGCGACCTCATCTTCAGAAGTCCCTATAGCATTCTGTGCTTCCCTCATGAGTCTTGCAGGAGTTACGTAACATAGGACGAGACGCGGTGTGTGGTCTCTCTTACTAGGACCAATGCTCAGCGAAGGCAGGGGCTGTCTGGAATTCTTCTTTGTCTTGTCCACAGCACTATTCACACTACCTGGGACGTAGCAGGGCCTCAGGAAATGAATGAAGGCGGTTCCCCATCTCCTTCACAGCAGCGTTAAGAGCGGGCGTGTTTCTGTGGGCCTGCACATAAGCACTCGGACAAACCACAGCACCTTGCCTCTGTGAACTTGGTAGAAACCAAGAACGGCCTAGAAGAGTGACCACTGAACGAGCGTGGCAGGGTAGGAGAGACCAGGCGCCGAAAGAGAGATCCACACTGAAAGTCAAGAGGCGAACGCGGGTTCTAAAGGCAGTTTTTCAAGTCTCGCCTTTGACGTCTCACAGTTCTGTCATTGTCGAGAAGTTGCTTCCCCTCTCTCAAGTCTCAGTTTCCTCATCTGTAAAATGGACAGAATGAGTGCACTCTGTATCTCCCGGGTGCGACGAGAGAACACTGGTATGAGAGCAGTGTGTAACCTTGAAGTACCACACAGATACCGGCTATCATCCATCAGTACAAGACCTAGATCCCCGTCCTACATCTGCCAGTTATGTTGTCAGCCTCCCCTCTGGACTTCAGTTCCCTCATCTGTAAAATGCAGGGTAGAGGCTTATGACCTAAGATCTTCAAAAGCAACGCCATCCGCCTCAAGCAGTGTCTCAAGAGGGTTTGACCGGTCACTCTCACAGGTAAGTGGAATAATTGGTTGTACTATGTGGGGTAATGAAGGGCACCTAATGCTAACCCCTGATACTAACCCCTGCCCAAAAATCCCAAATCTCAAACCCTAACCCTTTAGTGCACCTCAGTTACAGGAGGCACCTAAGTGGTTACCCTGATATAGTCTCAAGACCAACTTTTCTCTGTCTGCACGCAAACTCCTGAACTGCTTGATAAAGACCAATGATCTGAATGTCCACAGCAACATCTGCATTGCTCTGATATTTCCTTCCAAGGACAATACTCTTTCCCAAATGGTTCAGGCTGGAAGTACCTCAACAATGAAATTACTATAATAATGGATACAACATATATTACAAGAAGAGGGAAGCAAAATGGGATAAGGCCGTTTCTGAAATGTTCAAGAGTCAATTCAACTAAATTTTATTAAGCACCTACTATGTGCAGAGCACTGTGTGAGGCACTGAGGTGCTAGACAGTAAAGGGGGGAAAAATGAAAGCCCCTATACTCATAAAGCTTATATTCTCCCAGGGCTGGGGGGATGGGACGTAGACTAAGATAGGAGTATAGGTAAAGCCAAGGATAAAGTACTCTAGAGAACTCTAAGAAAGAAGAAGGCACTTTCAGTTAGGGAGAACAAGGAAGGCTTTCCAGAGGAGGTGGCACCTGAGCTATCTCTAAAGAAGTTGGGAAAATAGTACATTCCAGTGTGAGACAGCCAGTATGAATGTGAGGAGAAAGAAATGACAGTGTAGAAAGAAATTTGGGTTGTCCTCTGCGGCTACCAGAGGTGGGAAACCTGCAGTGTGTAAAGGAAAGAAATGAAGAGTGTGATAAGCACTGATGCAAAGCTAGAAAGGTAGGCTCGAACCAGACTGTGGAGGACCTTAGAGAGCAGAGGAAATTTGTGTTTTATCTCAGGGGCGATAGAGAGACACTGAAGCTTCTTGAGCTTCTGGGAAAATGATTTTGGCAACTAGGTGGTTTGGCAACAGAATGAAGAGGGAGAGGGAAGACACTGGAGGCAGGAAGACCAGATGGACAGCCATTCCAATAGTCCAAGCAAGGGGTGATATAAGCCTGAAATACAGTAGTGGCACTAGGCATGGAGACAGAAGCCTCAGGCATTATGGAAGGAGACCTGACAACTCAAAACATATTAAGTAAAAAAAAACTGAGTGCCATTTCTCCCAGAGCATTGTTATCACTCCACTTCCACCCACTCTCCCTAACAGATGGGGATAATACTACTTGCATCACTCTGTAAACATCCCACTCTAACGACTCAGCATGATGTGGAGTGATACCAGACAGGCATGCCAGTGGAACACAAGCCGTGGCAGGTCATACTAAGTTGGAATTCCTCTGAGGACGGGACCAATGTATGTAATCCAAGTTGGGTCTGAAGGACCAGCCTACACAAGCTCGTGATCAGAAGGTTACCACCAGGTGGTGATTTGTTTTTGGCCATGCCAACTCAAAGGATCACAGAATTTAGACCTTCAAGGGACCTCAAGTTCATCCAGTCCAACCCCATCATATGGGAAAACTGAGGCCAGAGAGGGAAAGGGATCTGCTTCAGATCATGAAAGCAGAAAATAGCAGAACTGGGATTTGAACCCACACACCCTATTTGCCCAGAAAACCCCAAACGTGGTCTTGAAGAGTCAGACACGACTGAAAACGACTGAACAAAATCCTGACTACACACACAAGGTTCTTTCCACCACACGAACGGTCTGCTAAGAGATTACTGTCTACATCGGGAAGAAAAAGTACCCGCACCAACAAGACCATGAATCTTTCGAATCCCAGGATCATTCTCTAGTGTGAAGTCTCAAGTGGCATCTGCATTTGAAGGCTGTCAAACATTCATTTCATTGATAGGGATTCCCACCAGTCTTCATGAATACACACGGCTAATGGCGGCTGTGGCTGAAGCTTTACCGTAGTCATTATATTTAGTTACTTGCCAATATGAATTTTCCGATGTTGAAGAAGTAATGATTTCTTACTAAAGGTGTTCCCACACTCACTACATTCATAGCGTTTTGCTTGAGTGTGAATTTTTTGATGTTTGGTAACCGATGAGCGATTGCTAAAGGCTTTTCCACATTCACTACATTCATAAGGTTTCTCTCCAGTATGAATTCTCTTGTGTTCAATAAGGTGTGCACTTCGGATGAAACTTTTCCCACAATCCATACAATTAAAGGGCTTCTCTCCAGTATGAATTCTTTGATGTTGAGTAAGGTAAGCACTGCGGCTAAAGGCTTTCCCACATTCATTACACAAATAGGGTTTCTCTCCAGTATGAATTCTTTGATGTTTAGTAAGAGACGGGTAACTCCTAAAAGCTCGCCCACATTCATTACATACACAAGGTTTCTCTCCAGTATGGATTCTCTGATGCTCAATAAGAGATGACCTTTGGCTGAAGGCTTTGCCACATTCGTCACACTTATGGGGGTATTCTCCAGTGTGACGCCTCTGATGTTGAATAACATATGTGCTTTGGCTGAAGGCTTTTCCACATACGTTACATTTGTAGGGTTTCTCCCCAGTATGAATCCTCTGATGTTGAATAAGGTGCGTGCTCTGATTGAAGGCTTTTCCACATTCATTACAATGATAAGGTTTCTCTCCAGTGTGAATTCTCTGGTGTCGAGTAAGATGTGTACCTCGGATAAAAACTTTTCCACATTCATTACACTTATAGGGTTTCTCTCCAGTGTGAATTCTCTGATGTTGAGTAAGGTATGACCTGTCTCTGAAGGACTTTCCACATGAATTACATGCATAGGGCTTCTCTTCAGTATGTATTCTCTGATGATTAATAAGGGATGAAATGTAGCCAAAGATTTTCCCACAGTCATTGCATTTGTAAGGTTTCTCTCCTATATGGACTTTCAGATGTGTAGTGAAAGATGAATTGTGGGTGAAGATCTGACCAGGTTCATTACAATTTTGGGACTTCTGTCCTGACCTAATTCTCTGATTCTGAGTAATGTGTGTATTCTGGCTAAAAGCCTTTCCATTTTCACTATATTTATAAGCCTTTTTCCCAGTATGTACTCTATGATATTGATGAAAGTCTGAATAGAAACAGAAGGCTTTGCCTGATTCATTACCCTTACAAGATTCTGAGGAGATTCTACTACATGTTATCAGGCTAGAATACTGTTTGAGGCTTCTTCCATACGTACTATATTTACGCAGACTCTTTTTCATAGGAATTTTCTGTGGTGGAACAAGGACGGACCCAAGATTGAAACTTCTTCCAAATTTATTATATTCATGGCCCCTCACCTTCCTCTGGGTGACTGTTACTTGTATGGAATCTGTCTCTTGGTTGTCCTGCTGTTCTTCAAACTTGACATTGTATTCCCAGGTATCTCCCAACCTGTGGCCCTGGGAACTAATCCTTGTGACGCTTTGCAGGGACAGCTGTTCCACAGGCATGCTTAGCTTTGGAGCTAATTCCTTGGTTTCAGGATTAGTCTCCCAATCTGGAAGAAAAAAAAATAACACATATTGTTGATTGTTCTGAAAGAAAGTAAAATTCTATAGTCTCCTTCATCAACGAGAATCCTCTTCAAACTGGAAAGAATAGAAAAAAAAACCCAATAAAATCCTACATTAACATAGCACTTCAAATTATAGTTTCGTATAGACAGCCATGTTGCCTCATTTTTCTCCTCATAACCCAGTAATAACTGAAGGAAAGTTTTAACCATTGAATTTTATAAGTAAAGAAACTGAGGCTCAGAACGGAGGAATGATTTGACCAAGAATCACTGACAAAGCAAAACTAGACCTGGAGCCCTGTTCTTCTCACTCCTACTCTAATGATCCATTACATGGCACTGCCTCTAAAACATCCTCAACAGGAAACTGAAGCTCAAAGATGGTGAGGAAGAGGAAAGACGGGACACACAGCTCTTATAAACTAGGTCAAGTATCCAGGTCCAAACAAATACCACCACAGGAAATGAAAGAACCTATGCATGTGACTGAGGAGCCGCTGCTGGTCATCTCTTGACAAATCACGGGGGATGGAATTGCTGGATTGGAAGTAGACAAATGTCTCACTTCTCAAAAAAAAAAAAAAAGTAGATCTATGGAGAAACTCAATTGATTCCATAATTTAATACAAACCTTAAGGAGTCAGGAAGAAGTACAGGAACCAGTGAAAGAGCCAGAGAAGGAGTAGAGAGGTAGGAGTATCACGAAAGCATGATATCTCTCAGGCCAAGGAACAGTTAGGAAGCCGTTGGTGTGCCTGGAGATAGTTTAGTAAAGGCCAGGGTAGACGTACCAAGGACAGGCTTTTTTAGAATTAGAGAAAACTGGGCATATTTCTAGGCCTATGAGAAGAAACCAATGGAAAGAGAAAGATCCAAAGTTCTTGAGAGAGAAGAGGTAGGATGACTGCAGAAACAAGGCAGGAGGGGACGGAGTCGCGAGTGACGAGCCTGGGACAGAAAGTAAGGGGTGTTGGCCTCTGCTTTAGTCACTTCAGCCAACACTGTTTTCCTTTCCCCCCTGGGCCGTAGCAGGTACATTCGTCATCTGCTATGTGCTGGTACCCTTGCTCACCATCACGCTCGTTTTCTTTGCCATCTGGCACGTTATGGAATCTGATGAACTGAAAACTACAGAGCAATGAAATACACTCAGACCTCCTGAACTCCCAGAACGTCTCATCCACGCGTTCTTCTGTATCACGTGGCTCTGTGCAGGACTACGGGTTACACTGGGTCTCAATACACACATTTGGAGGTATACGAGTAGACGAATGATGAACAGACCAAGACTTTTATGAATCTACAACCATCATGAACGCAGATATTCTAGCAGATGACAGAAAGAAGGATGGTACAAATTAGCTTTTTATCATTTTTTTTTTCACCACCTAACTGGCATGATTTATGTTTCGGTGAGCTCTTAGCGGACTGTCCAGCTAAGTGCATGCAAAAGGATTCTATCCAACAAAAACTTGTTTCCCAAATAAGCTTAAGGAATATAATTAATTACTTTAAAAAAAAAGACTTCTTATTTTTGAAACATTTCTACATTTTTTATCTGTGGAAAGACTGTTTTCATATGTTATGCTTGGACAAAGAAATTATAAAGAATCATGCATAAATGAATATAAAAGGATTACCTCTGGTATTGACAGGTTCAAACTTGTACTCCTTAAGGAACAGTCATAATTTTCCGAATAATTGTATTAATTACTTGACTATCTTTAGTCTATTGGAAGTTTTTCTTTACAAGAGTTTGTAAATAGCTTATTTCGGTTTCATTGGAATACCTACTAATCATAAATTAGCTGTAGAGATTAAATGCTTTAGAAGGACCGAAAACTCTGGATATATGACCTTGTGGGAAGCCTCATAGGTTTCTTCCTATATTATGTAGAAGAGTAGATGGATATATTTGCAAAAATAAGGATGGTGGGATTTTTTTTCTTAACATTTGAATATTAGCCCTATACACTACATGACCAAGGAACTTACTATAATAGTTTCATAAAATGTATATACTTTATTCTTAAGCATAAGTGAACCTAATAACAATATATACTAAATTATCTTTGAAGGAATGCATTGAGTTATTTTGAATGTTTTTATTTGTAGAAATCACTTAGTAAGAAATTCAGTATTCTAATTGTTTCAATCCAGTGATAAAGGATATTTTTTTGGCTTATTCGTTATTTAACGAAGTAAGTTGATGGCCAAAAAAGGACACTAGGAGTTCAACAGCCCTTCCTGCTCTTCCTCGTGACCCCCATTCACTCTGGCTGTAGCACAGCTCATGTCGGCAGGCTTGGAACTCTCCACCTCGTCCTGCTGCTTGTCGCAACAGTACTCTTTTTTCAAGGTCAAACTCAGGTGCCACCTCCTTTATGAGGCCTTCCTTGATTCCTGAAAATGAAACTGATCTTTCTCTCCTCAAATCTGATACAAGACATTCTTAAGGACTTTTAAGCTATACCTTAGATGTTCAGATCAGAAACGAAGAGAGAACATTGTGCATCCACCCTGCTGTTCCTCAGTGCAACATAATAAAAGTCTAAAATTAAGACTTCTTTTCAGTGTATTGTTTTAAAGATTGCAAAGAGCTACTTAAGACTGTTTAAACTACAATAAAATAATGTATATTGAATTTTTTAAAAAAGAAAAAAGGTAAGGAAAAATAGATGAGGCTGTTGAAAGCTGAGGAATGAAAAAGGCAAGCTGAGGTAGTCGCTGTCAGAAGGCACAGATCTCTGTGAAGTAGGTACGGTCATCTGCTTTAATTTCAAAGAAGGGTTCATTCTGAGGTTTAACAAGAGAAAAGGCTTAGAAAAATCACTGTGGGGAATGGGACTGAAAAGAAGTTCACAAAAATAAAGCATAAGGATTTATGTTAGACAAAAGTACATTAAACAAAAGTGAGGTTTCAATACAGGTTCTATTTCGAGTGAGTGGAATCAGCTCAACTTTGTGAATTGTCCAGTGATACTTAGCAGGCTGAGAACAGAAGCCAAAAGAGAATAACTAGAAATGTCGGTAGTTATCCAGACTTGTGGTTTAACAGGCTGGAGCACTCAGAAGACTGGAGTGGGGGAGGGCTGAGGCAGAAGAGGGAAAGGTTCTAGGGCAGTGGCTGGTCATCTTTACAAGTAGCTGATGGGGAGGGTCAAAGCAAGATGCAAAGGAAAATGAAGCCAGCCTGGGGAGAAAGACCTAGAGAAAAGGCATGAGCCAAGGGACTGCAGGTCACAATCAATGTGAAGAGTAGGTTAAGCAGGAATTAATGAAATGGAAAAGGGAAAAGGTTAGGAGGTCGGGGTCAGAAAGTGAAATGACAAAGTTTAGGCTCTTGACAATTAAATGAGTTGAAAAGCTTGAAGGAATGGTCATGCTGGCTTATGACTGAAATTAGTGGTGGTTGTTAGCATGGAGGAGTTACATAGTCACTGTGTGTTAGAGGGGTTATCAACATGGATATGAAGCTGGATGGAGGAGAGGAGAAGATGGAGCTTGGTGCTAAAATCCTTCATTCAATAAGAATTTATTAAGTGCCTGGATTCGATGCTGAAGATTCTGTCTTGAAGGAGTTAACATTTCATCTGAAGAGACAACCTCTGCATCTCAAAGCAAATAGAAAATGTAGATCAAGATGAGTCCACATGACTGGGGGTAGGAGAGGGCTCCCCAAAGAACCTCTGCAGGAGATGCCTCAGTGATATTCTGAAGGCAGCTGGGGATCCCATGGGGCAAAGAAGAGAAGGCAGTGCACACCAGGAATTTGGGGCCACCTGTGTAAAACCAGGGTGGTAGGAGCCACACTGGCTTGAACGGCTGTTTGGTCAGAAGTCAGACAGTAGGAAGGATGGGCTGTAACAGATGAGTTTGTAGGAATTCTTCACCTTTTGGTCTATGACCCCATAGACCCTGCCCTGGCAGTGTGGTGAAGCCTAGGTAGTCCTATAGCTAATAAGTGTCAAGTGTTTGGTCTGAGGCCGGATTTGAACTCCTGACTTCAGGGTCAGTGCTCTATCCACTGCGCCACCTAGCTGCTCCCTTCTTATATTTTTAAATAACTGAAGGAAATAGTAAATTTCAACTAGAGGTTAGTAAAAATAAAGGTGTGATTTCTTTCACACCTAAGTTCACGGACCCCTGGAAATCTAGCCATGGACCCCTCTGAGATCTAAGAATTGAAGGTCATATGAATGTCCATATCCCCATATCCCTGTGTCCTATAAATCCCAGAGGGGCTGTGGGAAAACGGGCTCACTAATTCATTTTTAGTTAAACTGTAACCCTAGACAAGTCACTTCACCTTTGTCTGCCTCAGTTTCCTCACTTATAAAATGGGGAAAAGAATAGTACCTACCTCTCAGGGTTATTGTGAGGATCAAATGAGATAATATTTGTACAGCATTTAGCACAGTGACAGCTACATAGCAGAAGCCATAGAAATGATAGTTATTATTATTAATAATGAGATTTTGCAGCTGTATCCCCAGCGCTGAGCACATGGTAAGCACTTAATGCTTTTTCCCTTCACTTCTCATTTGAAGGTGTCAGGGATATTGGGACTGAGAAGACCTCACAGATACCTTAAAGCATTTCAAAGAGATTAGGATGGTTCCATTTGATCCCCAAAAGGAAGAATTAGACACACGGAGACACAGATGCTGGGAGGAAGGATGAGGTCTGATACAAAGACAAATCTCCGCCGATTATGAGCATTCAAAAAAGAACCGGGCAGGGGGTAGGGGCGGGGGGGGGGGCGTACAGAAGAGGGAAAGGGGTAGTACGGCATTCCCAGTGAGCACCATGCTCCCCAAAGAGGCTGGATGAGCTCTTACTGAGTGTGCCACAGAAAGGCACCCTGTTCTAGGTCACTCCATAAATGAGTGGTCAGGAGTAAATATTTGGCTTTGGGAATCATTAGCACAGAAAAGAAAATGTTATGAATGCATGAGCTTCTGAAAAGGTAGAGAGCATAGGACAGAGCCCTCAGGGGCAGCCAGACAACCTGGATGATGCTTTGTCTTACAGGCCATCAAATACTGGTCAATTTTATTCCTTTTGGGGCTTTTTCTTTTCTTTTAAAAAGTATTCTTTATTATGAGAGATAGCTGTCTGGGAGAGGAAAGGAGAGGAAATTGGAGAACTCTAGGCAATATAAAATTAAGATATTGACAAAAATCGTTTTTTTAAAAAGTCATGAGGTTATAATGTCCAACACTCGGAAATGAAGCAAAGATGTTGAAGAACATTAAGGCTGAGATAAGAACCATGGAGAAAAGACCCTTGGATGTAGCCTGAAAGTGCTACAAGAGCAGTTTAAGGATTGTGCTGGGGCTCAGCGCTTAGCACTGAGAAAGTAGAAACCAGTGGATGTAGGCAACATGTTTGTAAATCTGGCGGGGTAATGATGAGAAACTGGATAGCACTTGGAAGGAGCAGCAGAGGCAAGGAAGAATACCCACCGCCCTTTAAAAAAAAAAAAGTCGCCGTAAGCACCAGAAACAAGGGAACCAGCCTGTCCAGGAGCTGCTACAGATGCTGCAGAGGCACAATCACTAGTGGATCCAAAGCAAAGGTGGAAGGGTTAGATGGAGAGAGAAGACAAACGTCTTCTGCTGTGCCAGGTATCCAGGACAGCCAGACGCTGAGAGCTCACGGCATTCAAGCTCCAATCAGCTGATGCCCATTTCCCAAAGGGCCATCTAAGTTTTTGTGGGCAATTACTCAAAGCTGCGTGGTTTGACTTCCTTACCTGCACAGGTGCTTCCCGGGATTTCTCTCTCCATTGTCCATGGCTCTTCTCCTCCTTCTAAACGAGAGATCACAACAGGTTTGAAAACTGAAAGCCCTACTCATGGAGAAAGAAATAGAAGATGTTTGTTCATGCTATAGTCAAAGGCATCTCAGAATTCAATTCTAGACAATTCTTCTCAGTAAGGAAAAGAGGTCCTGTTAAGAAGGCAAACAAAAGCGTAGAAAGGCCTTTGCAGCGTTCAGTATTGTGTTTCCAGAAACTGTAGGGGTACAAGTCACAAGTCACAAATAGGATCAGAGCTTGGAAGGCTCACTTAGCCCTCTCCTGGTTAAAAGGATGGAATCTTCTCACAGAAACACTGGGAACCACGAAAGAATCCACAATATCAGGACATCTGCAATGACACAGAAGGTCCAGCCTCAAGAATCACTTAATGAATTTACTCATCTCTAATTTTATTTCTAAAACAACTTTTCACCAGGGAAGAAAGAGAAGAATCCCCTACTGTCTGAAAGAAAAGAGAATTATCAGGTTCCCCGCCCCCCCCACACACACTGATCCAAAGCTCAGCTAATCACCTCAGATCATCCCAGGGTGTTTGACAACACAGGAAGACGAGAAGTCAGAAAAGGGAGACTGAGTCACAAGGGCTTACCTAGAAAAATTAGGTTTCTGTAGTTCTCTAGCATCACGTCCCTGTACAGCTGTCTCTGAGTAGGATTCAGTTGTCTCCACTCGTCCTCAGTGAAATCCACAGCCACGTCCTTGAACGTCACTGATTTCTGAAACACCAAAGTCATCTGTGTTCACTCCAGGGTCATCTGACCAAGAACCAGAAGGTCATAAAAGACCCAAGTGAACTAGGCCCAGCTCCCTCTGAGTGCTGGGAACCTGCCCCTCCAGCCAGGCACCATTCTTGGGGCTCCAAGTAAGGAGTGCTGGCTTTTCGTGCTCAAGTTCACAGAATCACCCAAATGCAGACTCATGTCCTGAAAGGCGGGAAGGAACTTCATCCACAGTATGACCTGGGTTTGACCAAGAACCTCTTCTTCAACCTTCTCAAGCCCCTACCACCAGTGCAGCCCATTCTAGTCAGAAGCCAGTCTCATCTTTGATCGGGGCTATTAACCTTGGTGTGTCCTGGACCTCTTTGGCAGGCTGACCCATCCTATGGACTCCTCAGAATGATACTGTTCTATATATAAAACACTTCAGATTACAATGGAAACTTAACTATACAGAAATACAGCGACCAGACTATTTTTTAAAAATTCCTGGATGCCAGGTCAAGAACCCCTGCAGGGTTCTGAAGTACCGTGGGGTACTGAGAAGGTCAATAAATGACTTGCCTAGAGTCAGCTAAACAAACATAATAATTCCTTCTTAAGAACTTTTTTAAATTTTAAAACATTTTAAAATTTCTATTTTGTTTCCTTTTCAAGTCGGGAGACTCTCCGTCCCCACTCTCCATCTCTGCCCCCCAAAGGAGGAGTCATTCTTCACAAAGGGCAAAGAGAAAATGACCATTTCTCCATGTCATGCACTGGCCAGACCAACTAGACTGGAATCCAGGAGAAAAAGAGGGAGCCTGGGAGAAGACAGAGGAAGCTGGAGAGCCAAGGTCACGACAAGGGCAAAGAACAAGCATGGAGGGCGTTAGGGAGGGGAGAGGTGGAAGGACAAGAGACTGTGGTCCGATTTCAGGGTCTTAAAAGCAGAGTGGTTTAGGGTGATGGTGAAGTCTAAGTGTGACGTGGGGTAGAAAGAGAGGTTAGAATGGAGGAGCTAGGCAGACTGTGAGGACAGAGAGTCGTTGATGTACTGATGTCAGTGATGACGATGAGAGCGGCAGGGAACGTGTGGAGAAGACTGAGCTGAGGGCCAAAGACACAGAAAAACAAGAATGTGAGCAGAAAGGTAGTGGATAATGGGGACAGGACTTGGAGAGCATAATGGACTCAGCTGAACCACAGACTTAGAGTTGAGAGAGACCATAAAGGTCATCTAGCACAAACATCTAATTTTCTTTTAACAAACAAGGAAACTGAGGCCCAGAGAGGTTGTGTCCCAGGTCACGTAGGCAAAAGAAGGCAGAGCTGGAGCTCTGAGCACAGACCCAGGCCACCTCCTCCTGGGCCTCACTGCCTGCTGGGCACACACACCAAAAGTGAAAGGGTCCCATTCAAATTTAAATGCACACCACGGCCATTTCCTTGGCCTCCCATCCCACAGACTCAAAGGCAGCATAAGTGAAACAGAGGAAAACCAAGGGGTTTGGAGGTGGAAGAGCTGGGTTCAAATCCCACTGCCCATGTTTAGAACTTTGAGCAAACCACTTAATAAAATGCACAGTCGGATACTACGTTCTCCAAAGTCCCCGCTACGTTTAAATCTAGGCTTCTATATTCCTGAAATCTTTCACATCTTCTCATCTTCCACATAATTAACAAATTACCTAGCAAAAAGTAAATGTGGTAATACATACGCAAGTTCTAACTGTAAAATGCTACACAAGTATAGGTAGTAATGATAAGGGCGCAGTGGAGAAAGCACTGGGACTAAAGTCAGCGAGACTCGAGTTCAAATCCAGCCTCAGACACTTAGTAGCTGTTGTACCCTAAGCAAGTCACTTCACTTCTGCCTCAGTTTCCTCATCTGTAAAATGGGGATCATAATAGCACCTACCTCTCAGGGTTGGCCTGGCACATAGTAAGCACAATATACATGTTAGCTATTATTTTAAAACGCAGTATATAAGGGAGTCTCACTCACTGACCTCAGAAGCCGGCACACTTGCCCCACCCCTCCAGAGCACCCCTGATCCCAGCTGTCCACTTTCTCTTCCCCTCCTGAGGCTGAGGCTCAGGAACAGGCGTTACCTCATTAAGCCGTATCATCTCTCTGACTGGGACCTCCACTTGGGGATCTGAATGTCTCTCACCACCAGGACGTGAGTCTTGTCCGCTGCAGCTCGACACCTGGACATTTTAAGGTACACGTCAGCATGAAGATGAGATGCCCAGCAGCCTGAGTCACACCACCCAGAACCCTTCGGATTGTCAAAGCCCAAGCCTACACACAGGTGAAGCCCATTCTAAAGCACAAACAGAAACTCTGGGAGTTGAAGCCAACAGAAATCCTTATGTCCATGGAAATATGTGAACACTCTTGTCTTTCTTCCCATTGCCTCTCCTTTCTCAGTCTGGAAAGATTAAACAGACATTGAAGAGTCTGTTGGATACTGGAGGCATGAATAAGGATCTGAACTAAATTAGGAATGAAACGTTCCAAAAATACACTTATTTGATGAACTTTAAACTGAACCTCCTTCAAAGAAAAAAAAGATTACATGAAAATAATTGTGTGCATGACAGAAATTGGAGTGACTGAAATGACAATTAAATAGTGATCTCTGGCAAACATTTTTCCTTTGCCAGAGAAACTGCAGCAACTTTGAATTCCCAAGGGGATTGGGGGAGGGTCGAGGAGGACAAAGCCTCACCTTAACTGCCATACACACGTATGGATGCATGTATACATGTGTGTATACATGCATACGCTAGTGAGGAGAGGGGGAGTTATGAAGACTTAGTCACTGCCCCCATCCTCTCTCCACCCTGTTTGATTTCTTCCTCTCTGATGACTCTTTGCCATCAGCTTACTGACATGTTCAGCTTTCGGACTTCCTTTGGGCCTGGTAGGCCTACTGAAACTACTATCACGTCTTCTATTTCTGAACCAAGGAAGGGAGCAGACAGCTAGAGGTGTGTCATTGAAGGTTTTTTGTATCCTGGACCACTGTGGTAGTCTAGGGAGGCCTAGGGATCCTTTCTCTGTTTTTTAATGCATGAAAGACAAAAGAGTACCAATCATATTAGAAGTTATAAAACAATTTTAAGCAAGTTAATGAACCCCTAAAGTCTCCTCTACCTCCTTTTTTACAGGTCAACACTGACCTTCTGTGTCTCTGCCCAGGCACAGCAGGGCCAGGCAAGGAGAGGAGCAAGAGACTTGGAGAACAGGGTAATGTTGAAGGGAAGAATTAGGGTGTGGGAATTGGGGCTGGAAAGGCTAATCTGAGCAAGGGGGGACATGAAGCTCAGAGCTAGAGTAGGGGCAGTGCGTATGTAAGAAGGCTGGAAAACCCAAACACGGAACCTAGAGAAGGATGAAAACAAGTCTTAGAGGTCCTGAGGACTGGCTCAAAGCTGAAGGGAACGAAGAGCAGATAAAATGATGGTGAGAGATGCAGAAGGGGCTCAGAGCTGCAGGGGGGAAAGAGAGAGGACAGGGCCCAGAACAGGAAAGGAGTAGGGTCCACAGGCTCAAAGCTCAGTACAGGAGAAACAAATGGGCTAAAGAGGGGGCTCAAAGTTAATGGTGAGGAAGGAGCTGAGATCTGATGATGGGGAACGGGAAAGAGGCCGAGAGCTGATGATGGAGGGGTGAGAAGGGGGCTCAGAGCTAATGGCAGAGGCAAGGAGAAAAAGGGGCCCAGAGCTGATAGTGGGGTGGGGGGAAGAGGGGGTCAAAGGTAACAGGAGAGAGGGAGGAGGAGAAGAAAGGAGTTCACAGCTAGTAATACAGATGGTCGGGGGGTCAAGGAGGAAGTTCAGAGATGCAGATGGTAGAGGGTGAGAGGGGGGCTGAGAGCTGCTGATGGAGGGGTGAGGAGGGGGTTCAGAGATGATGGAAGGGAGGGAGAGGGATAAGGAAGGAGTTCAAAACTAAAGGTGTTAAGGGGGCTTAGAGCCACTAGTGGAGGGATCAAGAGGAAACTCAGCACTGGTGATGGAGGAGTCAGGAGGGGGCTCAGAGCTAATGACAGACGTGTCAGGAGGGGCCTCAGAGCTGATGATGGACGGCTCAGGAGGAGGCTCAGAGCTGATGATGGAGGAGTCAGGAGGGGCCTC